GTATGCATGACATTTTAGTTTTGCACAAATACAAGCAAAGACTAGGATTATGTATATTTGGGGGGTATAATGCCTAAAGTTGCCAAAAGCCTTCTGGTGACTTACATCCTGGTGAGCTGGCCCAGAGTGCCTTCTGTCCCCAGACAAATGAGCTGCACCACAGCGTGGCAGCGTTTCTTTTCCTGCAACATTGCGTGGGTGCTGAGGGGGGGAGGGGGGACAGATCCACTGTAATGTCAGTGGTGTTGTGTGCCCTGTCCTGCATTCTTCCCAGTTGCCAGTGAAGGATATTTGGCGTCCCTTTCAATGCTCCAGGGACCTAATGTCCATGGTTACATGTGCCCTGCCAATGACGGCGGGGTGTAGTGACACTCCATAAATTCCACATTCTGGTGGGAGGGCAGGAGTGAACCTTTTGGCAAAATAATGGCAACTGAGTAACTGCCGCTGTAGTATTGCACAGGCCATACATTTGTGGAAGGGGGCCATTTCCACTAGGTGGAATAGGAGCAGTATTGCTAACTAGACATTGAGACCCTGAGCATATGGGGGTGATTTGGGGACTTTTTTTTTGCTCTAGCAGCTGCAATAGAGACATTTGCGGCTGGTACATTACAAACCTCCCATTATTTGTCATTGTAACCCTGCTGACCATCATTGAAAGGTCAGGAAGTGCTTTTATGGTTGCAAAGAATTTGGTCTGGATATCATTTTAGGCTTTGAGTGATGTGTAGGGTTGAATGGGTAGGTGTTAACGTCTGCTCTCAGGGGCTAGGTTAAATTTTAGGGTGTAAGGGGCAAGTGATTTAAGTGGTCTGATCGGGTCAAGTTTAGGGGTCGGGGCATGTAGTACAGTATTTTAACCCTTTTCAACATAGATTCAGATGACTAATGTACCAATTTTTTAAATGCATTTATATGAAGTCATAGTTGAGCATAAAATCAAAGTGCTCATCTTGTGATACAGTTCCTGGATCATTACCATGAATTTTATTTTTTAATGAATTGTTCTACTTGTGCAATATAAAGTTAAAATCTGACCATGTATATTATCTTATAACGGGTGGACAATTTAATCTCCATTGACAACTAGAGAATTCTTTAATAGTTAGGCATTGACTCCTGGGATTTTTTCAGCCCTGTCTTGCAGTATGTAATCTAAATATAACGCAATACAACTATTGCTGCACCATTTTCACTAGCACAATGTTCCACTGGGGACACCTGTTGTAGTGACAACTGACTAAAATGCAATCTCTTTAAAGGAGAACTATGAGGTGAGTGAAAATCACCCATCCTCATAGTTAGAGCCGACGTGTGACAATGAAACTGTCACGTCGGCTCAATAGATCGGGAATTGAGCGAACGCATACCGTCGCTCGCTCACTTCTCTATCATCTCCCTGCAGAGAGCGGTGACCGTCAGTCACCACTCCTCGCAGGATTCCCTCTCCGATCCTCCAGCGATGACTGGGGAGGGGGCGGGCAGAGCCAGCTGTCATTCACGCAGCTGGGTGGATCTCGACAGCATTGTCGGAAACCGTCCTGAGTGCGGCGGTCTCAGTATACTGCGAGCTGTAGCTTGCGATATACTAAGCTTTGGGTCACGGGAGGACACAGATTTGTCCTCCCGTGACCCTTAAGAGAAATATGGGGGGAAAAACACTTACCCCATAGTTCTCTTAACTTGCGGGGTTTTTTTGGGACCGGATCAGGGGGCAAATCTTCCCAGAGAGGCACAGACACAAAATGCTTGCCAGGATTTTTACTATTCATCTAATGCTGCATGTTAGGCTCTACAGCAAACTTGCTGCTGGAGCTGGCAAATTTGTAGCACTCCCACCCAGGGCACAGTATTTAATCAGTTGCCCTGCTTAACAAATGCTGCAGAAGATGCTTAAGGGCAGAATTTAGGCTTGGGTTGAAGCAGGGCACATTTTGTCTCTCAAAACGATTGATTGTTGAGAGGTCTGCAATCCTTGTCCAAGCTGAACTCCCTGTCGCAATCTTTTTCCTAAGTTTTCAGGTAAATGTGGTGCACATGCATAGAAATGCTATGTCAAAGGAGCTAGGTAAAAAATTGCTGGCCAAACAGTGCCAGCCAATTGGTTGCAGTCAGTGTTGAGGTATTCTGACGGCCACAGGCTAACCGAATACAATGGCTAGATTGGGGCAATTTCTCCATCCACACTCTTAAGGTGGATGGGGGAATAGTATTTTTTTTTTTTTTTTTCAACCTATCGGCTGAAGGAGAACACTTAACTTATATGGCCAGCTTTAGTCTTTGCGATGAGCACTTATGGCTGTCTGGAGTGCTTGCTGTCACTGTTAACCCCACACAAGATGACCGTTAGAATATGTTTGTATTTAAAAATGGTACTTTGGCTTAATGTGCTTTTAGATCATTGTTTTACCATCAATATATTACTAACAAAGATGAGTAGAGTTGTTGTGTATCGGATGAATAACATAATTTCCTGGATTCTCTAGTCTAGAGTATATGCAAGACTTTAATAAACCTTATGTGTGGGCAGTTGGTAGGTCTGTAAATCGCAGCCATTGGGCTTCATTCCCAAAATAAAATAACTGACTTGGATGAGTGTGTGTGTGTTTTCAGAATCACAATTTGCAGATCAATTTGATGTGTGCTATACAAGCACTTAATGAAAGAGACCTTTTTTTTTTTTTTTTTAAGAGTAGCTCTAAAAGCACGGATCCGAGCTCTGTATTTGAGGGAGCACCAAAGCACTCTTGATGGAAATTGGCCACATGCGCAGCAGAAGCAGTTTTTGCAGAAAGATATATAAAATTGTGTGGAACCTCTTAAAAGTAATCCTGGACACTACAGATATGATTGCATCAGAGGGAACATTTTTAGATATGGGGAACATTTTCTTTTCCCTTCCTTCCGTGGCCAAGTCAACTTGGTGCCTACATTAGGCATTTTTTCAAATCTTTGCTCTAGTGACTAAACAAGTTGGTGGAAGCACAAGGAAGGTAAAAACCAGTGGGGGGTAGGGGGGATGTTGACCAAATGTAGTCTTTCTTGGCAGATCTTTACACATGCATATTAGATTATATAGGAGTAGGGCATCTAATTTTATGTTTGACTGTCATTGTCCCACCCAACAAGCATACATAGTTGTGGCTGCTTCATGCACAATGGTTAACTGGCCAGGGAAATCAAAGGGTTAAGAGGACTTTTAGGTCAATAACTGACACACTGATAAATGCTAAATTTTATTTTAAAATTGTCAAATATTTGCCGTGAACAGGGGATTAGTGGGTTGGTGTAAACTGCAATGATGCTGTGCAATCTCATCAAAACCAAATCACATTAACTAGACCAGTTCTGGTTGATTTGGGTTACAACTCTGCTTTGTTAAAGGAACCTGACAGTATAGAAATATGGAAGTTGCCATTGCTACATTTTAAGATTGGCCCTGGAGGAGTCCCTTTTATAAAAAAAAATCAAATGGCAGCTCCATTTTGTGTTTTTATTTTGACCAGTTCCTCTGAAGTAAGACCAAACACCTTATTATGAAATACACAAGTTAGTAACTGACTGGCCTACTGGATGGATTTTATATTTTCAAAAAGGGGGGGAAATTTGTGATGCTCCTGGTGGAAAGATGGTCACTGTTTGCGCTGTATTGCTTTTGAAAATGGCTTTTTTTTTTTTTTAAATTTTGCCTTTTACCTGCAGTACCCTCTGCAGGTGAAACCTGGTATGCTACTAAGATTATTTCTCTGTTGAGATATACTTTGAGTGTTTGGATAAAGGCCCTATTCCTTACGAGGGGCAACCTGAGACATTCTGAGTGGCACAATTCAGGGCAATATTTTTAATGTATTGCAAGCCTTTTTACCCAGTCATAGAAGTCAGGGCTATGTTTTTATTGTATTGCAAGCCCCATTGCCCCGGTTCATAGAAGTCAGGGCTAGGTTTTTAGGGTCCATTCACACATTAGCGGTTATTCGTGCGGAAACGCATTAAACATAATAAATACATTTGCATGTATGCTGTTCATACAGTACAAAAACGCACGTCACGCAAAAAAGTCCAAACGTGGAATCCGTGCCTATGTTAAAGTTTGCGTGTTTTCATGCTGCTTGTATTTTTGCGTGAAAAAACCCCGTTGTGTGAATGGAGCCTTAATGCATTTCAAGCCCCATTACCCGGTCATAGAATTCAGGGCTAGGTTTTTAATGTATTTCAAGCCGCCTTGTGCAGTCACAGAAGTCAGGGCTAGGTTTCTAATTCAAGCCCTGTTACCTGGTCATGTCACCATTATGTCTGCATCGCAGTCTACTCTGTTCCAGATCGGTGAACAAGCCTAGTGTTCTTATATTTTTTTTTATTTTTTTTCAGGGATATAATCTGAAGTAAAAAACGTTTTCTATATATGTTTACCATGTGCATTCTTGGGAATCCCAGGGAGTATGTGGCATTTCAGGCATTTGCTTGTTCATCTTTTAAACACGCTGCAGCAAGCGCTTCACCACCACAAATGTTTGGCTGTACTTTCCTTGGGATAAATGTCTGTTTGTAGAGTCCCTTAACCAGTGCGCTGCCAGATGTGAGTCATTAGCATTGTTCATGCCAGCCTCCCCCCACCCCCCAAAGTGGATATCCTATACAAGTAAGTTTCAGAAAAGCATGTAGGGAGAGCAAAGGTTTCCCCCTCCCCTCCGAATGGATGGAAAATGCAGTGAGCTAATTGAATGATTTCAACTTCAAAGACCAGGAATGATAGGAATTCCCCAGCAATTGTATGTGATTAGTTAGCTCATAGCCAGTTAGAGCGCATGTAGTAGTGCAGTAGGCGGTTTGAATCTGATTTCCGAGTAAATATTCTCGGGACGTCAACTCCCAGTCTTCGTTCATTCTGCAGGGTTCCCTTATGTATCCGTAAAGGAGTCTTTTAATGCGGGCTAAAATCAATGATATGTTTTTTGCATATTATCTGCTCTCATGCAATGTTTTCTCTCTGTTTTCAGGAGTCGGAAGCTACAGATCCGAAATATACCACCTCATCTGCAGTGGGAGGTATGCATCCATTTTCTGATTTTTTTTTTTCAAGTTTTCAGTTTCATTGTTTTTTCTTGGCTTTACTTTTACTAGTGTTTGAATTTTAAATTTGTGACCGAGACTAGAGTTTTACAGTGGTGTGACTTAAAGCTTACCTCTGGCACCTGTTTTTACTAGTATGTGCCTACCTGAGCCTTGTTTATACAGTATTATACATGTAATGTCTGATATCTATCAGGAGATATAAAAGCCAGACTTCTGGCTTTTTTTCAAGGCAAACATATGTATGATTCCCATGTGATATATTTTTTTTTTTTTTTTTTTTTTTATATTGAGGAAAAATCATTTAGAAATGGTTTCTACTTTATCTTTGACTCCATTTTGAGAGAAATGACCTATAATTGCCAAAGAATAAGCCTCCTGAAATTCTATTAATTGATGTCCTTTCAGTCTGCAATATTGTGGTATTGCAAAGCCGGGTCGCTGTGTCTTGTGTTTTGTATACATGATAGCTCACGTTTTAAATCTCGCTGCAAACAATGTATTAATCCAGAGATGCAACAAATGAAGACGTTCACAGAAGTGAAAATATAAAATCCTTTAAAAATGCATTCACTTTTAAATTTTAAAGTAAATTAGAGACGAGTGAGTCACCGATTCTTTTGTGACCGTGTACTCTGTACTTGTAATCCTTGCATGCCTGGTGACATAGCTACAGAAATGTTTTATCTGGTGAGCTCATTTGCATTCTAATTGCACATTATTGGCGGTTTTAGTAGATTTGCTGAACTTTAGCTTGTTTGCATTTTTTTTGTGAAGCTTAGATTCCACACCAGTTTCGATGTTTTGTGCTATGGAATTAATAATGAACTGCTCATCCTTTCTGCTCTCTTCTGAACTTTTTATCTATACTATTAAAAAGTGTTTTGTTATATCTGTTCGTGTACTCTCTGTTGGTTTTCCGTAAGCATTGTTCTAGAGCTGCAACCAATTAATCGATAATAAGAATGGTTGTAGCATTGTCACCCTAAAGGTGCCCATACACTGTACGAAATCCCGCGATCGTACGAGAATCGTACAGTGTATGGAAGGCGTGCAACCGTTTCTACTGTACGGTCGCACGTCTTCCGTCGAACAAGCAGGCTTGAAAACCTGCCGAGAATCGTACGATTCTCGGCGGGTTAGTGGCCTGCTTGTTCAACATCTGCCGAACAGGCCGGTGCGCACACTGCCCGTTTGCAGTGATCAGAAGCCCACCCCTCACTGCGGTCATCGGAAGCCTGCCCCTCAGCGGGGCGGGCTTTCGATGATCGCAAGTACGATCTGCCCGTCCAAGATGGGCAAATCGTACGAGCTTTCAATGAGCTTACGACCATCGCAAGACAAAGGTCTTGCGATGGTCGTAAGGTGTATGGGCACCTTACGACAGGAAGCTGTTACTGACCGGAGAAGGGAAGGAGGAAAGAAAACATTAGCCACCATATTGAGGGGCTGATAACATACAATGAATTCAAATTTTGTTCTCGGTTTGATTATTAGTCTTTATATAATCGAACACTCTGATCAGAGACGAGGTCTACCAATGCTGACTTTCTGTTGAGAATTATTTATCTGCCTGTTATTGGATACAACTATTCTGGTAAGCCACTAACCTGGCATATCCACGTCAAGGCAACCCATGATGTGAGCTATTGGTCTGTAACTGCTGCAAGAGAAGGCAACCCCGTATCTGTGCAATGTTCTCAGAGCAGTGCCGCCTCAGAAGCCATGGGGGGTCAGCATTATAGGCAGGAAACTAGTCTTTTCTGAAGACCTGGCCAGCAATGGAAGGGCTCATATGTCTTTAAATCATCCTATACAGATAATCACCATGAAAGCATACTTGCTGACTTTGAAACTTGAGAGCTTTAGCCGTGGTTTAATTTTTGTTATAATTTTACTATAGTATTGAAAAACCGAAAGGGTGAATGGGTTAACCTAGTGTGAAGATGCTTGTATTTGTGACTCATTGCATGTATGAGTAAAACCTTCATCAGATTTCCTGGCATAGGTTGATATACAGTCTTGGTCATGCACTCTCCCTGGAAGCCATTACATCACTAAAGATGGTTGTACCAAGAAACATTTTAATTTTGTGTTTTTTTCCGGGTATCGTTAGACCACTTTCTATACCCTTGATTTAGGCTTCTAGTTAAAAAAATGTCAAATGCGTGGTAGAAATGCAGAATAGAAAAACTGGACTGGCGTTTTGCACAGCTTTAATGGCACATTTCTTGGTGCCCTCCAAAAACTACTGGCAGGCTTGTATTTATGGTGGGCAAACTGGCCACCTGACCAGGGCCTCCAGATTCCTAAGGGCCCACAGGAGCTGTCTCCATTCATCTGTGGCTCAGATAAGCTTTATCTGTGGCAGACGAACAGGATTGAGCACTGGCTCTGCCCAATTTCCCTTCTCTGCAAGAAGACTGAGACAACAGGACAGGGAGAACTTCACTACTGTGACGGAAGTGTGTGTGTGTGTAAATAAGACAGTGCTAATATATGTCAAAACCCCTTAGAAGGAAAACTTGCTGAAAAGGGCGCTAACTAAAATAAAGGTATAAATGTTAATATATTTCTTCACACTTTTCACCAAATATTCCCCTTCCTATATGTCCTTTCATTAATGGCAGCAGTCTCTAAACTATGGCCAGCGTGTAGTCCTTGACTGGCCCCTGCAATGGGAACGCCCTCATGGATGGCTTTCTCACTACAGACTTGAGGGAGGGAGCTTCTGTATGCAGAGTGGCAGCAGGTGCCGGTTATACAGAGTGTTCCAGAACTCTGGCAGTCTAAGCCCTCGTTCACACCTGAACGTTTTGTAGCGCGTTCTACACTCGACTAACGCTCTACAAAATGCTCAAAAATATAAATCCCATTGTATTCAATGGTCTCGTTCCCACCTTGGCGTATTTCCGCCCGTCCCTAACGCGCTACAAAATGGCCCACGCCTGAAAAGGTACAGGTACTACTTTGGGCCGTTTTGTTGCGCGTTTCCATTGGGATACAGCCAAGTAGCCTTCGGAAACGCGCGACGGTCGCGACTTTTTACCGCGAATCGCGGTAAAAAACGCGCGACGGTCGCGCATATGCAATATGCCTAGGTGTGAACGAGACCTTAGCAAGGAGTGATCTCCTTCCCCATGATCCATTTCTCTTCCCAGCCATAACCCCACTATGAGGAGCAGTGCAGGACACATGCGGCCTACAAGGTAAGTAACCACTGAACACCATTGATGAGCCGCCTATCTCTCTCACTGGTGCCAGTCCAGCCCCTAAACAGTGTAACTGATGGTGAACTGGCCCTTTTGTTTAAACCGATATTGGACCATGAACTATTGTTTGCATATATTGTGTGAAGAAGATGGCGGTTATTAAATGGAAAATGTATGTGAATAAAATAGTTACATTTCATTTTAGTTGCTTTTAATTTTTTCTGTAAATACTCCACCTAATCCCAGCACCTTCTTCACTGTGGATTCACTCAGCACTTGCTAGATTCATGCAACCTTTAAGCTAATAGAAGTTAACATGCTTTTTGATTATTTCGGCGTTGCCGTATATCCGTCCCTTTGCCAACTTTCCCCCCACTTCTGTTTTTACTATGATCACTCCTCTGCCTCTCCCCTTGTATTTCAAGAAATAAAAACTCATGGTATAGTATTCCAAATTTTATTTAAATGTGAACTCTCTGTAATCTTGAAAAATTCAATTTTTGTTCGATTTAAATTGGAAAGGTAGAAAGACACAAGGGAGCAGAGTATTTTGTACTCCTAAAGTGGGTAATGTCAGAGGGCCCGCAGTAGTCCAGCCAAGAGAGCCCTGCTTTGATTTTTGCCCAGGGACCCAATTTATTTAAAACTGGCCCTGAATATTGGTCACATTAAAGACAAATAAAAGCAATTGCTGGCAGTACTTCAGATCTCCCCCCTTGCCCCCCTCTGGAGTGTTTATGCAGCAGATGCAATTCAATCCCAGAGTTGGCAAAGGGTAAGCAGGCCCTCTTTCTTTTTACCTGTACTGAAAGGCTGGACTGCTTTATCAACATGGGGAGTTTAGCAAACCCCTGGTGAATATTAAACTCCAGTGCTAGTATTCTGTACACATGTGGCACTGCACAAAAACAACAGCAGCGGGATCCTGTCTCCTGATCACTCTCATTATTGGCTGCTCTTTTCATCCTGATCTTTTATGATCCATGCACAGATTAGGAAAAACTAAACTTTTTATGAGAGACATGCAGAGTTACCTGGCTGCCACTAACTTAAAATGATTTGAGTTGTCTTCATGAAATAAGTATTCAGGTTGTAAAAGTCAGAGGTCCTCATCTGCGTACTTGTTTTAGTTCAGTAGCTCCAAATATTGAAGCCAAAGAGTCACCATGACAGGCAAGAGGCTAGTATTTTCAGAAGAAACAGTCAACATAGGCTGCCTCTAGTGTTTCTCTTTCAACATTAAAGTCCATTTCCACCTTTTTGTAAGTGATTTTCATTTATTGTGGCAATGACGAGGTGCATTGATGATGTACATGTTTGCGTATTTTCATGACTCATCGCAGGCTTTCTTTTAATGAAAGTTTTATTAGGCCTGAAGTTTAAAAATTCGAAATTTTCTTTGCAGGAAATTCAGACACTAGGGTGTTGGGCTGTAATTAGCTACCCCCCTCCCTGTCGCCCATTGTAACAGGATCACTAAACACTAGCTCTGCCTTTATACACAATACACTGTACAGGGAAAGGGGAGGGGGTATTTTCACATTGCTTGCACTTCACGGAGGCAGAATTTTCCATTAAGATAAGCGAACATATTTAATTTTATGTTTTCATATAAATCAGCTGCATATTCCTTCATATAATACTGCCTATTCCTGCTTCATATACACTTGGTGTACATTGCTGGCATGTTTAAAAAAAAATACTTCTGCGAAGGTGGAAATGGGCTTTAAAGTGGACCTTGCAGTACAATGCATAGTCTGCTTG